CCCCAAAACCCCAAAACCCCAAAACCCCAAAACCCCTTTGATAAATACTCTTTTGAAAATATTAAGGAGTTTTGAAAATATTAAGGCTATAATTGCTTAAGTCCTGTTTTAATCCATTCATGTTGAAGAGCCTCTTTTGGTGTCAATCTGTCTTCAACTTTCCACTCAATTCATTTGTCAATAATGTCTATGAATAAATCATCATCTCATTTTAAGACATCACTCAATTTCTTAGTGTTTGGCATATGTGTCTTGCCTCGAGAATTTTGTATAATTCTAGGATTCATGTTGGAATGGAAGAATGATCTCCATCTCGAGCCTTGTTTTAGAACACTAATAGGAGGAACTCCTTTAATTTCCATTATTAGTTGAATCTGTTCAGTTTCATCTTCTCCAGCAAATAAAGGATAGCCTGTGTAAAGTTCATAAAGTATTCAGCCGAAGCTCCACATATCAATTGCACATGTATAGTCGATTCCTAAGAGTATTTCCGGAGCTCTATAGAATCTACTTTGAATGTATGTGTAAATCATTTTGTGCTCAAATCAACTGCTACCAAAGTCAATCAGTTTCACTCCAGATTTATTTGATTTCTTCAAAAGAATATTCTCTGGTTTCATGTCTCAGTGTACTATTTTATGTTGTTCCAAATAGTCAAGAGCTACAAGTATTTGTATGGCAAACCTTCTTATTAAAGTTATTGAGCACCCTTGGTACATATTTTGCTTGAGATAATCATAAAGATTGATTGATAGATTTTCAAAGCAGATTCATAGATGATTTCTCCAATAGAAATGATTCTTAATTCTAACAATATTCATCCTATCATACTTATCGTTCTCCTTAAGATGCTTGAGGAGGCCAACTTCTACCATGCCTTGTTTCTGTAACTTCTTCTTGCACTTAACAACCTTGACGGCTATGAAATCCTTTTCCTTATAATCATAGCATTTGAAGACGATTCCAAAGGAGCCTTTGCCTAGCAGTCTTCTAATTTCGTACCTGTATGCAATCATGTCATGTTCTTCGTACAAAAATTCGCCCGAGAGGCTGCTCCATCCTTCGTTATTTTTCTCCTTCTTGTTTTGGCAGTCTACCAAGCTTTCTTTCTATCATGTTTAAGTAATAAACAGTATTGTAGTTCAAAATCTCCTTCTTCTCATAAGGAACCAAGTACTGAGGATATTTAGCAAGGAAGTCTGTACTTGGCATTGGGAATTTAATCTTTGGAGCTGGCTAGAGCATTATCCTATGTAACATACCTTCTTGGGCTCTGGCTCTGCCTTTGGGAGAACCTTTACAATTGAGTTTTCAGCTTTTGACTCTTTCTCTAGAGACTTTAGTTCGGGAACTTCCGAGTTATCTTTCTTTAAGATAATTTTTGAGCAGGCTAAAGGCTTTAGTATTTAGCAATTACGCTTCGATTGTTTTCAGTAATTTTCATGGTGAACTTAGTAAGTTTTTGAGAATTTTTAGTTGTCTGTGGCTTTTTAGGAGGACTTTCAGGACTAACTTGAGCTTCTAAACTTAACTGTGGAAGTTCAGATATATTTTTATCTTCCTTCTTCGGTGAAATAAATGCGCTAGGCTGTAAATCGCCTATTCTTTGCTTCTGAAAGTTAATCTTAGCAACTGCAGGCTTATCATTCTTCACCGACTCTCGACTTTCACTTGACAAAACTCGAATTGATTTACTTTCTTCTGTAATTTTCTTTGACCACTTTCTATCTCCATTTGGGCTTTCAATTATGGTAGATAACTATGGCCTAAGACTACTCTATTACCTTATTATCTCCTTGACTAGAATTCTCGAGTATCTTATCATTCCTATCAGTTACAATAACCTCCTCATTCTTTTCTATAGTGGTTGGGAGTCCATTTGTCAAAGTTTGGTTCATAAACTGTACATCAGGTTTATTTAAACTTGTCTTTATTGCCTGTGTTGCACCGAGGTTCTTCTTAATTTTGAACGGGTTTTCTCCTGGATAAATATCCTTTTTGGGCTTGATTACAAAGTCTTTGTTACGAAGATTGTTAAGCCTCTTCTTCAAATCTTTGCCAACTATTTGGATTAAGGGAAATATTACTTTTGTTTATAGGAACTAACTTTATGTTCCCTCCAGCCCCGAGAGATCCTTTCTTTGGCTCTTTCTTGGCAGACCTTTTTAGAATCATAGAGTTATTTAGACTCGTGTTTGGTTGATTCATTATCGAAGAAAAATTTCTCGTTGTTTGGTTAATGGAAGAGTTCAGGTTTTCCACTATTTTAGTTCTCCTCTCTTCAATCGATCCTCTGTTGTTCCCTATTCTTCTCTTTCCTCTTTTAGAGATTGGTGGTGCTTCAAAGCTTGAGCCTATTAATATTTCATATCAGATTTACCTTCAATTGGGCCACTCGCAACACTAGAAAATAATTCATTCTGTGAAATTTTTCTCATATTTGACATTTTGTTAAAGCCTGCTGGCTTTACTCTTGTGCCACTAGATCTCTTGCTTTTATTTATTTCCAAAGAAAGTTTGATAATTGAAGAACTGCTGATATATTACAGCATTTGGAGCAGCAGTTTCATTAGCAGCTCTTCTTTTGTTATCATTTAGTATCTCAGGATTCTCTCTTGAGAGCATGCTTGCGTTGGCTTTCTCTAAATTTCTCCTTGTACTGATCCTCTTCGTATGATACTGCTTGCTCTGGATGTTTGGATATCTTTTGTTACCATCAATAGTACCTCTTCTATTAGCTCTTCGAGAAGCCTTAGGGTTCTTAACTTTACCCCTGAGAGAAAGTCTAGGTTCATTAAGATTAAAATTAGACATTTCTTTGCTTTCCTCTCCTGTGAAACTGTTATTTTGTAGCTCTAAATTTGACATTTTGGTCCATTGTTCTGAGTCTTTCTTTACTAACATTCCTCGAGCTAGTAAAGTTCAAATGTACATTCTTGTAAACTCTATTAGGATTATATTTGGCCTTCCTCATTTTAAATTATTTATCAATATAGTTTAATTATAAGGGGTTTTGGGGTTTTGGGGTTTTGGGGTTTTGGGGTTTTGGGGTTTTGGGGTTTTGGGG